GTGTGTGTGTGTGGGGGGGGTGTATGTGTATGTGTATGTGTGTGTGTGTGTGTGTGTGAAGTAGTAACGTCTGTCACAATTTACCATTATGTTACTTGGGGGTTTAGTTGCGTTAACAAAGCGATGCGAGTCTCTCTGAGTGGGGCACTTATCTCCCGTGTGGGTGAGCTGCATGGATCACAAACTAATTGCTATTTGTAAGCGTCTCGTGTCGTACAATTAGCAAAGTTATCTCACTGGAAACTCGGACTTTGAATTATTTTATACCTGCAAACGACGAGTAAAATATTACAGTATAAACGCCATTAAACAGTAGAAAACCCCATATGTGCATAATTATGCTGGTCTACGTAGTGCGTGTTGGTTGAGGCATCGTATAGTGGCCACGTATATCATACGCGTGTGGGGAATAACTACGTGCTTGGGCTGATTAGCTTGTCTAATGAACATGACGCGCATACCTCCATTACGGCATTCTACTTTAGTTAATCACTACGGCAGCCAGGGTGTTGCAAGAAATGTTGTTAGTGCGCGTTACAGGTTGCGGCGATTCGAGGCACGCGTGCGCTCCCATGTGACGAACTAAATTGTTTCGCTCGGGTAATAACTTTCGTAATTTCTGAAAAGTTTTTTTTCCGGGGTTCCGACGTTATTTTACATAATTAATATGAAATGGCGACGGTTTTTCAACGATTCTAATGCCCATCTGTTTCTGAGGGAGTTAACCAACCTTACTGTACACATATGCGACCGCCCAGTGTAAAACTACAACTAAAGACACCACATAATGTGGAAATGTGTATATTGTTCGTCTACGCTTTATCGGCGCAAAGTAAGGAGAAAGGAGAAAGATACGTAATGAAACGCCGTTTATATATAAACAATCATACTTCCAAGTTTGTGATTTTTAGTAGTAGACGTTTTTGTTAACGAGGCTTTTAATTGATGGTTATTTGTACCTTCGCTAACGTTGTTCACTTTCTCACAACTGAATCCACTAAACCTTTCTGTGCAGCGACACAAGTAGTCATCTCCAGAATTGATAACGAGACACGTACCACCATTGAGGCATGGCTTTCCATCACACGGCGAGGAGACTAAAAATGCAGCACAGTTTTATGAATATTAGATGATTATTGTGACAATCGTGACCATAGCTGCGTCTGATTGAAAATACACGCAATCGCGCACACAAACATGCGCGCACGTCTGCACACACGCGAGCACACACCTATATCCTTGTATCCTTGCACAATCTGAGATAAGTGCGACTAATGGTTTGGCAGTTCGCGCCCGTGAAGCCCGGGGCACAGTTGCACATGTATGACGGAACTGCTGATCTGACGGGGATACATTCGCCACCATTAAGACAAGGCGCACCTGCACACACGTCGTCGACCGCTCTCTATTTCGCTTGCTCGAGCAGCGAAGGCGAGCGAAACGAAGCGAAGATGCACCGCTCTCTATTTCGCTTGCTCGAGCAGCGAAGGCGAGCGAAACGAAGCGAAGATGCCCCGCTCTGTATTTTGCTTGCTCGCGTAGCGAAGGCGAGCAAAACGAAGCCAAGATGCCCCGGTCTCTATTTCGCTTGCTCGCGCAACGAAAGCGAGCGAAACAAAGCGAACATGCACCCGCCCTGTATTTCGCTTTCACTTCACTTCATTCCATTTCATTTCACTTGGAAGAGCAACGTCTTCCTTTCAAGCTCGCTTTGATCAGACTCAAATGAACGGCCGACTTTTATATCCCATTGATATCTATTTTATATCTAAACCCCCCTTAATATCTATTTTATATCTAACTCCCCTAGATATCTTTTTTATATCGATACGTCCCCTTGATATCTCTTTTATATCACGATATTAATGACATTAAAATTAGCCTATTTCCACAACAGGCAAGTTACAAGCTCAAGGGTACAAGACTCTCTTACCCTGAGTGTGTCACTGTTCCTGGTGCTTGCCTGTTCAGTTTAAAAAAGATTCTTTCTTCTCATATTGTCACCCCTTAACTGAGTTTATCTAAATCCCATGCACACGCAGCCAGCCGTACAGGAATTAAATTCGAATCCATTGATCATTGATACATTGATCATCACCAGTGTACATCGATCATTGATCCTTGAGGATGTTCAAAAGGATTTAGATGAATGTATAGATGCAAGCGAGCGTATAGATGCACTCATGCATACCATGTAGCATGACACTAGACTAAGCGAGAGTGATGTGTTGTAAAAGGCATGGAAGTGAGGAAGTTTCAAAGGCCAGGTCAAAGAAATTGCGACATTATATAGATTACATCAACAGCAACGTGTGACTCATCGGTGCCTAATGTAGTTAGATGGTGTAATTCCAAAGCACGGACATGCGTTATACTTAGATTTCGGAAGCTGAACAATTATGGTACAGCAATGCGTGGAAGGAAGAATTATTGCGTTGATTTGCTGATAAAAAATCAATTAAGCAAAAATATATTAATAATTAGATAGGGCGTGTTATTCACCGGTTTCAACGCATTCTTAAACCCGCATATATTTTTTTGCGCAATGTTTTTTCTTTTTTTCTTTGCAATAAACCTATTGACATCTACCATCTGGATGATGCGCTCTAACGAATAACAGACGCGGAGATCTTTCAGCTCGTGGTTTATAACAGTCGGCTAGGCGCTAGTTACCGTCTAAGCAGCTTTTCTAAATGGCAAATGGTGCAAACGAAACAAGGCGTGTGAACTGAGAGATCACTTAGCGGGTCGTGATGCTAAGCCGCCTACTGCTAGACCATGCAAATCCAAATAGCTTGAACCAGACGGTGCGCTGAATATCATATTACAGACGTTCTACTGTAAGAAAAAGCCAAGATAGGAAGGAAAGTCTTTAATCCAACCGTAAATCTGGCCAGCGGATTTTATTTATTTTTTGTATATTCCGCAGTTCACGTAGCTATATAATCATTATAGCCATAACTCATTATTCCCGTTGTGTACATGTTTATCTCATTATGTCAATTAATTACCACGACAGGCAGCCGACTGATTAGCTGACTGTGCACTTTCTATCTTACTTATGCTAGGAGAAATGCTACCGCGATGGATGCAAACTATAGGAATCGTTGTCAAATTAATTGCTCGTAAAATCCTCTGACGTTGATCGCTAGATTTTGTTGTTATTATATAGCATCAGAGGCGTCTATATAGTGGGCACGCACTATCAATAATGAATGCACGCCGAGTTTCGTAAATTATGAATCCAACTTAATTAGTATTCATCTAGCGCACGAACGACTTGCGTCCACCTTCCTCGCATCTCTATAACTCATCTTGACCTTGATCTTCTCTTTTGATGAGTACGCCGAGAAGCCTCAATAGGCAAATTACGACGGCTGGGAGATTGGATAGAACCATAGAAATAATATACTAGGTAGACTAGTGTCTCTATATATTTCTATGGACAGAACGCACACAAACCACGGCGCCAACAAAAACATACAATAATTTCATCGATTTTTCTAATCGCCATCATTCGGACACTGTCTGGTGGCGATAGCTGATTGCGCGCGTGGGTACTTAGTACATAGTAGACGTACGATCATAATAATGATCAATAATAACCGCCTTCATCTCGATCATCAGCCACAAATTACCATCGTCATCGTTGTAACTTGCTCCTCTCCTACTTTATTGCTTTCCCAACGCAATAGCGAGCCGGATTATGTCCACGTACTCGCCGACCGACGTGTAGGTCACGTGACCTGTCTGCGGACACCCCTGCTGTGTGGCGTCCGTGAGAAGTCCGACGAGTTCGTAGCGCCGCCTGGAGGGATCGAGTCGCAGCAGAGGGCTGCCCGTCGTGGCGACGCACGGCTGTGAGACAGTCATCAGTCTCGGACTGAGCGTGCAGACGACGGGCGGTCGGCGGATGAATACCTGCGTCGATGTGTCCGACCGACAGACGGCGGTCGGTAGCAGAGTGACGCGCGCCGCGCGGACACGTCGACGGGAGAGCCGCGAGGTGGCGCCCCATCCCGTCACCGTCAGCGGCAGCGACCGCAACGTGGCGCTGCTGTCGACATCCGGCAGACAGACCGCCTTTGCAGAGAGAAAGAACCAACGCCGTTTGCGTGATCGCATGAATGTGCGCGGTCTTTTCGCGCGCGGCATTTGTGTCGGTATAGAGCGTTAGAAAAGACATCGATTACATTTCCTGACTGTAGAGAGTTCAGCCCAGTGCAGGTAATAGAGCGTTTGACCTTGAAATGTGGCGAATATTTCGACGAGTTATTTATAGCGAGGACGCGGGCTCGCCTAGCAAACTGAGATTCCTTATCATCAAAGTCAGCTGACTTCTGCTTAGGCCAGTGCGATTAGTGTAATCGGCTGTGGTACGTTCCGAAATCTTATCGGCAAACTGTGCCTGGCGACCATATACATTAGCCGTCTCTATACCTGGTATTCCGAACATTCTGCAAACGTCAAGATTACCGGCTCTCACAGAAAGTCAATGGACATACATTTGACCACATATACATTTGGAATTCATTTGCCAACAAGTTTTTTTGCAAATCGGCTGAATCTCACTTGGAAGTTCACATACCTTCGGCACGTCCCTCTGCGGTGTGAATGGGTGCGGCGACACCGACACAAGGGCTAGGTAGTCGAACACGGTGACGTCATCGGAAATCGTGAACAGCGGCACGTCGTCTGCGAGCGAGCCCGACAGGATGGTCTCCCCTACGGCGGCGACGAGCCGCTGCTCGGACCGCCGGCGAAGGCAGCTAGCTGCCGTGAGGATCCATCCGGGCTGAAGCACGGCACCGGCACACTGCAGGGCAGGGACCCCGTCGGTCACACGATATATCGCCGCCTAGAGATTCATGAGAGAGAGAGAGAGAGATAGAGAGAGTGAGTGAGGGAGAGAGAGAGAGAGAGAGAGAGAGAGAGAGAGAGAGAGATAGATAGATAGAGAGTGAGAGAGAGAAAGCGCGAAAGAGGGAGAGAGAGAGCGCGAAAGAGGGAGAGAGAGAGCGCGAGTGAGGGAGAGAAAGAGAGAGAGAGCGAGAGAGCAAGAGAGCGAGAGAGAGAGAGGGAGAGAGAGCGAGCGAGCGAGAGAGAGAGAGAGAGCGAGCGAGCGAGAGAGAGAGAGAGAGCGAGAGAGAGAGATAGAGCGAGAGAGGCAGAGAGCGAGCG